ACTCCCAAAGCCATTCCGAGCTGACAACCGGGATTTTATTGTCGAGAGCCAATTTGAGCTTCTCCTTCCTCGTTTCCGCGAGCGCCCTACACACCAGCACCGAGGTTGTGTCGTTAAGCCTTGATGCAAAGCGAGCACCAATCTGTGTAATTGCCTTTTCCACATGCAGCAGATCAATTCCACTAAATCCCGCCGTGCAGATGGAAATATCCTTGAAGCCGTGAATGGGGAACACTGGTAGCGGGCGACCTAGAATATGGTTGTCTGGGTCGCGGAAAGCTTTGTTATGCAGGCATCGCTCGATGAAGAACTCGGTCACGATTTGGATCTTGTCGATGTGCTCAGGCGGAACCTGAAGATGTGTTGACGGCTGGGATTCTTGCGGGACAATAAGAAGCCTGCGAGCCGGCCTCGCCTCATAGCCTTTGGTGGAAAGTTCTTGGAAGGAGTCGCAAACTTGTCCACCTAAAGAAACTATGGTGTCTGCGAGAATTTTGGATTTCCATTGCTCAAACCCAGACATGAAGAAAGAGCATGCAGAGAAGATGCCCGCGTCAGGGGCAGGCTGGACCATTCGATCGTGGATGCCAGAGTCTTGAACCTCAATCCTATCCGCCGTATCAACAGGCCCGGCAGACTCGCCGGAGGGCTTGTTACCGAGGATATCTCCCCAAAGCATGTCTCGCTGGCTGCCGAGCTTCATGCTAGCTGTTTTCCTGAGCTTTCTCTGGCCAACCTCGCCAGCACCTGATCTCGATCTTTTCCCTGCAAACGCCTTCCTTGGTGTTACTCTGTTCCAGGCGCCCTGGCCTTGTTCCTCTGCCGGCAGGACGGGGTCGAAACACTGCTCGTCGAGTATCAGGCCGCGCTCGATGCTCTGTTCGAGCCAGGCTAGCGACACGGTGCGGATATTCCATGCTCTGGCGGCCTTGTACTTCTTCCCTTCCGGTTTTCGGACTATCAGGTGGGAAACTCGTTTTGTTAGGTCGCCCGTATATGCGCCGCCGTTGGAAGTGATCTTTTCGATGATGCTGTTGCGTTGATCGGCTGTAAAAGGTCAGGTCTGTGCTGGGGAGAAACCAGGTCAAATTTGCTTACGATCGTCGAAGCCAGTCATACAAAGCAACAGACTCCCGCGCTTAGCTTCAGTAGAATCGGCTGCATCGACGACATGGCCACACGTCTCCAGCGGCTTGAGCTGCCACTCTCGTTCGAGGGCGGCAAAGTCAATATCGGCATCCTTCATCCATAGATCTCCTACTGCATCGATCCATTTGGCATCCATGACCTTGATGTCGGTTCGTTCTTTGGCGACATGGCGGTATTTGGGTGTGTCGTAGTCTCCTACAACAAGATGCGTTACGTCGGGTGTTAGATCGTACTTGTGGATGCCTCCAAGTTCTTCAGTCTTTGTGGCTACTTGTGTCTATATAAGTGTCAGCAGATGGGGCATGGTGAGGTCGTAGTAAGCAGCAGCATGGAGGTCCGGGTAGAGAGCAGGTAGAGGGGCGAATGAATGTGTGCATCACCACAACTTACTCGCTGGTCTGGCGGGATGCTTGTGCAACACACGACAACGCCCTTGAAAGGATGCGCAGGGTCGATGGCCGGCTCGCTCGAGTCCCGACTGCGAGGGGAGTCCATCCTATGGCATGTCGGTAGCTGTGTGGTCCTCGAAGCAGCATGCAAGACTGGTTGTCTTATTCTGTCGAGGATTGGATACTCTGAGAGCAGGTGGTCTTTGTCGCTGTGGTGTACGGTGAGGTACCTTACCTCATGCAACAGCGGGACGGCGCGTCGAGAAAAAAGTCGCGTCTGCTGCCTGCCCAATCAATTAAAACAGTTGCCAAGCGCAACAGGTGCCATTGGTAGACGTCATTCGTAGTGGGGTTTCTCACAGAGTATCTGCACTGTGCACACAGACGATCGGCGGAGCGAGAAAAGGTGCTATTCTGACTGAGAACACAGTGCGTTTTCCCGACCAGCAAGGTACATGAGTCTCAGGTCTGAACTCTCACTTCAGCTTCCTCACCAAAGCCTCTCAGTCTCATGGAAATGCGTCTTCAAAATTGATTTGCCAGAATTTTCGACAAGAAGCTTTTAATTCAATGGTTTATTCAATATAACTTCATTTTGTGGGGCACACACAAACCGATCTTGCTCCTCGAGAATAGCTGTGTTAGTCTCTGGTTTGGTCTGAGGTAGCCCATAATCGTTATTCCCAAGGCATGAAACGGAGCGACTCGTATGTGTCCTTATGTACCAAGACTAGCCTTGAGTGATTGGGAAGTAAGAAAGGGGGAAAAAGCCCATATGATCACTTATACAAGGAGGTTATCTTGAATTCTGCGGTCTCTGTGATTATATATGAGAGGAGTTGTCGAATGATATCGTCTGCCTTACGCGGATGAGATCTGATGGGAGAGCATTCGTACCTCATCGTGATCAGTTCAGATGAGGATAGAAGCCATGAAAAAGAGCAAGTGGAAAGAATGAGCAGAAGAAGGTCCGAGAGTCTTTGCAGTGAGTTTGACGAGGCCAGTGAGTATGAGATGCACGCATAGAAACGCGGGAGAATGTTCCTTTCAAGATGAGGCCCAATCAGGAAGGCGGGGTCAAAGATGCGGGCTCTTGCGGTCAGAGAGTCCCACTTCCCGCCGTCCACGGCCCGCCATTTCACCAAAGGCACGGAGTACAGCACCCCAAGGCAGTGGAGGGCACCATTTTTTGAGTGAGGTGATCACTGAGGAGTCCTTCGCATAGGTTGGTCGCCCACCGAGGTGGGAGCGCGAGAGCCTTACCGCCCAAAAAACCACAGACTGCCCCGCCATAGGAAGACCTTCAGCAACCAAACTGGAAGGCATCGCTCGTTGGCTCTTACCCCACCATCTCGGCTTCAGCCTTGCTCGCTCCCACCCCTCCGAAGCTCTTTTCCACCACCTTACCTTCCTCCCTTTCCACTGACCACACCACTGCAACAGCGACTTTCAATCTCACGCACTCCGTCACATCTGACCTGCACGAACTTCGCCTCGTCTCCTCAAGAAGCGGCTTACCCACGACCTCTTCCTCTCTGCCTCGAAGCGTATTGCACTATCGCCGACACCCTCAGTCGTCGCATCGTCACCGACTCTTGAAAGCGGCCGATTGCGTCACGCGACTCCCTCTACCCACATCCGAACCAAAAAGGCAGCTTTGGGCAATACGGCCACACGCAGACGGAGGTAGAACTGCTGCGAGCACAATGGCGCCAACATCGACCTCCCAGAAGGCGATGACCACCCAGTTCGTTCAGTTGACGGGTGCGAGCGACAGAACTGCACAACGGGTGAGTCCAAGCCTAGAGGAGAATACACAATCGCTGTTAGTGTCTCGGTTCCTCGCCTACTAGGCGACGCCTGCACTTTCCTAGCTCCTCATCGTCTTCCTCGGTTCGCAAGATACGGACATCGTACTTGAATTGGCGGCGAAACGTCGAAGCCTGTCGTGCGCCGCTACTCTACGTTGCGCTGCGTTGCGTTGTGCTGCCCAGTGACTGGAGCATGACTGGGCATCGACGTGATACTGCCTTGGCGGGGAAGGGGGGCAGCTGGTGGAAGAAGAGACCGCCCACCGGGCCATTGGATCTTGAAGACGGAATGGAATGCTGACTACAAGCTTTCGAATAGTACCTGAAGAATGCCGGATACAAGCTCAATGAAGCTGTTGATGCGTAAGTGCAACTCACCCGATATAGTACACGGGGTTTCTTATTTTCCACGCCTCGGTTTTGTTTCGTTTCGTTTGGTCTCGCTCGTCCCCCATTTGTTTGCTCGACATGGTCGTTTCTGCCATCGCCTTTTACCGCCCGTTTAATGTTATCCGAACCACTCATCTCACCATGCGCCGGCCCTTCTCGGGCAATTTGGCCTGCAGCGCACGCAAGGATACCGCGTTAGCATAACTTGACTTGCTCGGTTGTTGGCCCGGTCTAAGATGCCCTTTGTGGGGGAAGCGCCGTCGAACCCCCCTCGGAGCGCTACTCAGCGTTGCGCTGCTCCAATGCACCCGTCGGAGAGAGGCACCTCTGCAGCTACGAGGTCACAGTTCACTCTTTGGGGATACATTGTTGCCCACACCGCAGGAGAAAGGCCGAGTCCACGCCGATCGACAATTGCTCCTGAAACATTCACGCAGATGGAATGGCTCTTAAAGCAACCGACTGCCATGGCAGCCGCCACCTTCGTTGCTTGGATCGGCCATTCCCCGTCTATTGGTCGATCTAGTTGACGCAAGTGCCTCGCCTTTCCGGACTGGGCCGGTTGTCACCCCGGTGCCACTCATATCCGACCACCACGAAGGTCACGGTCCTTTGTATGGAGAAATTGGCTAGCATTCATCATCTTCCCAAGTCTCTCGTCACAAACGGCCACAGGCAGTCAGCACGTCTTTGCCTCTTCGAGCCTCTATCAGTTACCTTGGTTCCGCACCAACCGACGTGCTTCGTTCTTGGAATACGTCGGAACCCCGGAGCACGTTGGGACTGCTTGACGCCAAGACAAGAGAGGAGCATCAAGACGATGGGATGGAAAGGGGTGAAGAATGCCTTGCCTACCAAAGGCTTAAGCTTGTGGTCTTCGAGACGCAAGGCATCAAAAAATATCCTCGTCGCTGAGGAGAAGAATCAGTCTGGGTATTCCGCCCACTTAGTCTGCCATGTCCTGCGCAAAGTTGCCAGCTGACATTCACCTCTCGAAGCGTCATGAGCCCAGAATTGTTTACATTTTTATGGACTTGTTGTCTCTTTTGTTGCAGTAAAGCATTGACTGACAAGTCCTAAAGATACTTCTCTGGCGGTAGTGGAACTTCCACACCCACGACTTCAGCGCTCGATACTTCGTTGAATCAAATGTTCGACAAACTAAGAGGTATTGGCTCACAGCTTAGCCCCTCCGTTCCATGACTAACAGTAGGTAGATGACTCAAAAGACGAGAAGAACACACTGGGCCTTGACACTACGATGGCGTACCTCGGCGACTTGGGTGTCAACATCGAGAATGCCGAGCTGCTGGTCGTGATGGAACTTCTTCAGGCACCTTCTGTTGGAGAGATTACTAGAAAAGGCTTCGTCGATGGCTGGAAGGCGTCTGGGTATGGGCAATCTTTCCAGTGTCAGCCTTTAGTATACTGACATGGTAACAGTGCTGCGACGCGTCAAGCGCACGTCTCTCACATCAAGTCGCTGGTTAGCAGTCTTTCAACTGACCCTGCTTACTTCAGAAAGGTGTACCGGCACACCTTCGTTGCCAGCAAGGAGCCGACCCAGAAAGCACTCAACCTTGAGATTGCTACAGTCTACTGGAACGTTCTCTTTTCGCCACCCGGTTGGGAGTGGAAGACGAAGAACCAGGACTGGCTGCAGCTGTGGTTGAAGTTCCTCGAAGAGAAGTGGACTAGATCGGTTAACCGCGATATGTGGAACCAGATTCTCGAATTCGCGACCAAGTCCATGGCAGATGAGACATTGTCTTTCTGGAACGAGGATGGAGCATGGCCCAGTGTGATTGATGACTTCGTGGCTTGGTGCAAAGAGAGAGGGATTGGCAAGTCCGAGACAATGGACTTGGACGCCTGAAGGCATATACAGCAGACCATGGATCGGCGTTACCACACGAGGTAGAGACTCACGACCAAAGGTCATTAAGATGATGATGGGGACGAATCCGACGACGGTAGGAAGAGTGTAAACCGGCGCCCCTTCCACACACACACACACACACACACACACACACGATTGGTACATAGCAGCGGCACGTCTATCGACAGCGAGGCCGCTGAAACCACAGAGATAGGCTGCATCGGGAGGCCAGATCACGACCAGTGGTAGAGATTTTCAGCATTAGCCTAGCGCATGCAGTTATGGACTGCGAATATCAGATTGACAGAAGCTCGAGTGCAGAAGAAAGTGCATGTTTTCAACGCAGTGGTTTAGAGAGAACCATTACGTCCAGTTTGTATCAGTGGCGTGCCACGTATTTATACACTCCGAACTATCGTCGGCTTTATACATGCGCAATCAAATGTCCCCGGCGCCGGCTCGGGGGTGGATCCCATATCATACAACGACTGTCATTTTGAGGCCCGCGAGCCACGATTCCCGTTTTCCACGCGGAGGGAACTCATACACTCCATGCTGTGCGGCCCCCCACTCTTTCATCCGCGGCGGTGATCATCCGCAAATTCCCTTTTCTCATTCCATGCCCCCCCGCCAAGTCGGGGGAGGGACCGTCTATTTCTTGTTCCTAACGCGCGCTCACTGATCCCACTTGACGTCTCCGAAGCGGGCCATGGTCTCGAGCTTGCCGTCGCCGAGCTTGACGTGGGCGGTGCGGATGACGCGGGGGTCGAGGTTGATGGTGGTGCGCATGTCGTTGTGGGTGGCGGAGGAGGCGTCGTAGCGCATGACAAAGTAGTGGCCGGCCTTGTGCTTCATCTGGGCCTTTGCGACGGGGCGCGGGAGGGTGAAGACGCCCCAGTTGGAGATGCCGCGGATGACGCCGCCATTGCGGAGGACGATTTGGCCGGCGGTGAGGGCGATTCTATAGAAAGGTATTAGGTTAGAAATCGAGGGGTATTGGGTAATTGGGAGAGGGTTTGCGATGGTAGATGGCGGGAGGTATTGAGGCGCTGGGTTCGAAGGGGGTTATGGGTAGAGATGGGGGGATCGCGTACTCTTTCACCTCGGCGAGGGAGCCCGGTCGCACCTGGAGATAATGTTAGTTCCTCATTTTAGAAGATAGATGTCGGTAGAAGAGCGTTGGTGGCGACTTACAATTCCTATGAGTTCGTACAACATCTTGATATCGACATTGACGCTATACTGGGGATGATTCGAAGTGCGGAAGAAGCTCCAATTGACGATTGCCAAATTATTTCGGGAGCTCATGCGCCACAGAGTGGAATTTTCCGAATTGTGGCTGGTGCTTGAGTCTGGAAGAATTGTGGGGGCGTGAAGGGAGATTCAGCCACGGCCGTGTGGCGCGTGATGAAGTTGGTCATTGGCACTGTCCCCGCGGACGAACCGGCCAATCCAGGTGACGGGAATGTCAGCACTGGGGTCTCTCGATGGGGTTCACACGCTTCAACTCAGTCACAGCTCAGGTATGGTTAGGCTTCATGGGAGCATGGTTACTTGTTTACACGGCCTCTGGAACGAGAGCCAAGCTAGTCTTACACTGCACTCTTACATAGCCAACCCATTGATGTTGTAACACCATCAGATACATAATCATACAGGACCCGTTGTGGCCACTTAGATCCGACTCTTGCTTGTTGCACGCCAGAGACGCCAAGGCAGCTTCCAGCTCGGCTTCACCCTCCAAGGGTCGAAGTTGGTCCCCTCGAGATTTGTCAGGTACTCCTGCGCGGGCACAGCCTCAAGCAGCACCCCGAACCCTCGTCGGAGGTCCCGCTGCGTGTCGTCCTCTTCCGGTTCGTACACGTGCTCTGCCTCGCCCTCGTGCTCAAACTCGTGACCGGCATCCTGCCCTGCCTTGAGATTCTTGAGCATCTCCCGCGCGGTGATGAGGTGGTCGTTGGCCCGCGTCGCCACCTTGAACACGGCGTCCTGGAAGCCCTCCGCCTGCGGGCCGTATCGGAAGACATCCTCCTCCCGCAGGTTGACCTCCGCCATGATGTCCAGCGGGAGGAGAAGCGCGGGATCCTGTCGTCCGCCGCCCGGTCCGGCATGGGACTTCGCGGGCTGCTGCTGCGGCGCCGCCAGCACGGGGATACCGCGCAAGACGGCGACGATGCCGCACGCCTTGCCAATGTGACTCGCCAGGTGATCCACCTGCATCGAGCGTAGCGGCATCGACGCCAGCGTGGCGTACATGAGCGTCGAGTACGTGTTCTCGGCGTACTCTTCTAGTGCGGCCAGCGACGCATATGGCCTATTGTCCATGTGCTTCGCCCGCGTCTTGACGAGCCGCTGCACCCAGAACTTGATGGAGCTCGCCGTGGCGTTGCCTGGCGAGCGCGCGCGCAGGTCCTGCAGCGCCTGGTGGAGGAGCACGCATATCGGTTCGGCCGGGGGCGCGCCGGCAAAGGTCTTGTCGATGGAGTCACGCCAGAACTGCATGCGCATCTGCCCGATGGTCGGGTTGGAAACGAGCTCGGGAAGGCGGACGAGTTCGAGGTTGAGGCTGCGGAGGGCGAGGTAGGTGTCTGTTGCGCGCGCCGGGACGAGGCGGCTTATTATATGCGCATCATAGTCGCTGTGCCTTTTGGGAAGTCAGCATCTTTTGGGACGGTCAAGTTCCACCTCATGATTCTGGGGATGGGATGCTGCGTACTGGAGCTGCGATTGGCAGTATTTCCTCGCCTTGACGACGTCTGCGTCTGTGACGATGCCCCTGGTGCCCCGTGGAGGGGTCTGGACGAGCCTTCTCAGGCCATGGCCGGCGATCCGTGTTGTTCGATTCATTCAGGAAAAAACGCTGGTGTGATGCGCCATGTCGGTGCTGCTTCTGAAATTCGCGAGATGCAGCTGGATAAAGAGCTGTGGGGCCTGACTTTTTTGCCGCTGCAGCTGCTGTAAGGTACCTTACTGTGTACGTGCACTAAAACTTCGAGGTCGAACACTTATGGTTGCGAGTAATGACGTCTTTGCCGGGATGTCTCTTAATTGACTTACCTCAGCAGACACGCAGTCACATGACGACCCGACGCGCCCCGTCGCGCTGACTGATTCGCCTCGCGTCTCCCGTCCTAGGTTCCTTGCCCAGGTAACTTTTTGTGGCGGTTCGTCTCGTTCAGTGTCAGTGGCAGACCACCCAGTACGACCCGCCATCGTGGAAACCTTCATGGCGCCAATCTGAATAGCCATGGAATACCCACAGTCTCCTGAACCCCCAGCGAAGAGGAGACGCTTCTTTGCCGCCTCGGACGACGATGTGTTGAGCCATCAGTCCAGCCCGGTGCTGCCCACCCCGCCAACGCAACCGAAGCAGCGATTCTTCCAAAATGTCGACGATCAATCACCCCAAATCAAGAGCGAGGATGCTGAACCCCCGTCTTCGCCTTCGAAACCACGTGGGCCACTCGTAGAACAGCCAGTCGACGATGCCTCCAACCGATCTGGCGCATCTTCCAATATGCAGCGCGAAGAGTCCGCCATGACCTTCGACCAGGAGACTTTTGAGAGCTTCATAGGAGACAAGGTTACGGCGGAGGTGCTGGGTATAATTCGGGATAGTTGCGACAATAACCTCGAGCGAGCCGTCAACATGTACTTCGATGGCACGTGGAAGAACCTCAAGAAGAAATCCCCGGCTCTCAGTGCTATTTCTCGACCATCACCGGCCGCGGCGAACGCCACCAAACAAGAGTCACCCATGAAGGACGCACCAAAGCCCGTGATTAGACGAACCATGCCCGAGGCAAGATATATCGGCTCCCTGGGCGTCGAGGGCTGGGCAACACGGAGCGGAGCAAACCTGCTGAACCACGGAGATGTAGTCAGGATTGAGCGGCAAAAGATCCAACCGCCCAAGTCCAAGTTACACACCAAGTTCGGTGTCGCAAACGCTCCTCAGCGTGGCCCAGCTGCGGCTTCAAAGCGAAACGACGTATTAGTGCGATTTACAAACAGCAGCGGGTCCGAGATTGGCAGGTTGGAGAAAGAAACAGCCGAATGGGTCTCAACGTTGATGGACCAGCAGATATGCAAGTTCGAGGGTACCTGCGTGTACGCCCCTGAGCGTTTGCGAACGAACGACACCGTCTTCATTCAGTTGAAGTGTTATCTGCTTGCATCAGCATTCCACCGGCCTGGTTTCAAGGTGGCGGAAAACAGGGCGACCAATTTTTTCGAGGAGAAAGAGTCGACCGAAGAAAAGGAGCTGCGCCTTAGGCAAGTGGCGTTAGTAAAGCTCTTTTCTGAAATCAACCTCGAACCTACGCGAGCTAATGCGACTGCGTCGAAACACCAACGGCAAGGTTTGCTGCAGGCTGCAGAGATGGATGAGAAGAAGGAGAAAGAGCCTGCTAAGCCAGCCGACAGAGCGCCCGGATCCTCGCCCCCTTCAGACGAGCAAGAGGAGGGTGAAGAGCTGGAGCAAGACCAGCTTGATGCTCTTTACCGCAAGGCCCAGTCATTCGATTTCAACACACCCGAAGCGGAACCTGCAGATACCTTTGCTATGAATTTGAGACCCTACCAGAAGCAAGCGTTGCATTGGATGATGACCAAGGAAAAGGACCAGAAGAGCAACAGGGAGCCAAGCATGCACCCTCTGTGGGAGGAATACACATGGCCACTCAAGGACACTGATGAAAAGGAGCTTCCTCAAGTCCACGACCAGCAGCATTTCTACGTCAACCCGTACTCGGGAGACCTCTCTCTCGATTTCCCTGTTCAAGAGCAAAACTGCCTCGGCGGTATCCTAGCCGACGAGATGGGTCTCGGTAAAACCATCCAGATGCTCAGTCTAGTACACACCCACCGCTCCGACGTTGCGCAGCAAGCCAAGGCGACGGGCAGTGTTCCTACGTCCGTCAATGAGCTTCCAAGGCTTGCCTCCAACTCATCAAGTGTGCTAAATGCGCCATGTACAACACTCGTCGTGGCACCGATGTCATTATTGGCACAGTGGCATAGCGAGGCCGAGAAAGCCTCAAAAGAAGGCACTCTCAAGGCCGTTGTGTACTATGGCAACGAAAAGGCCAACAACCTTCAGGTTGTGTGTTGCGCCGCAAGCGCAGCGTCTGCGCCTGACGTGGTCATTACCAGTTACGGTGTGGTATTGTCAGAGTTCAACCAAGTTGCGGCCAAGAAGGGCGACAAGTCGTCTCATACCGGATTGTTCTCGCTCAACTTCTTCCGCGTCATCCTGGATGAGGGTCACCACATCAAGAACCGACAGTCGAAAACTGCCAAGGCGTGTTACGAAATATCTGCCGAGCACAGATGGGTGTTGACTGGAACACCAATCGTCAACAAGCTGGAGGACCTGTTCAGTCTGGTTCGTTTCCTTCGCGTGGAACCTTGGAACAACTTTTCGTTTTGGAAGACTTTTATCACAGTCCCCTTTGAGTCCAAGGACTTTATGAGGGCACTTGATGTGGTACAGACTGTGTTGGAGCCTCTGGTTCTGAGACGTACCAAAGACATGAAGACGCCTGATGGCGAGCCGTAAGTGGATGTATCCTGGACTGTTACGCCTTAGCTAACCCTTGGAAGACTGGTACCCCTTCCACCGAAACATGTTGAAATAGTTGATGTCGAGCTCAGCCAGACCGAACGAGAGATTTATGACTACATCTTTACGAGAGCCAAGCAATCGTTCAGAGAGAACGTTGAAGCAGGCACAGTTATGAAAGCGTTTACTAGCATTTTTGCTCACATTTTGCGCCTACGCCAATCTTGTTGTCACCCGGTTTTGGTACGAAACAAGGAGCTCGTTGCGGACGAGGTAGAAGCTGGAGCTGCGGCCGATATGGCTGCCGGCCTTGCGGACGACATGGACCTAAGTTCCCTGATTGAACATTTCACAGCAGCTATATCCGAAACGGAATCCAACACAGCTGCTTTTGGAGCCCATATTCTCGGCCAGATCCGCGATGAAGCTGAGAGCGAGTGTCCCATCTGTGCCGAAGAGCCCATGGTCGAGCAGACGGTCACTGGATGTTGGCACTCTGCTTGCAAAAAGTGCCTTCTGGACTACATGAAGCACCAAACAGATCGGCATAAGGTGCCGACCTGTCCCAACTGTCGAGCCGAGATTAACTACCGCGACCTATTCGAGGTGGTTCGCCACGACGACGACCCGGACGTATTCAAGAAGTCCAAGATTAGTCTACAGCGCTTGGGCGTGAACAACTCATCGGCCAAGGTCGTGACCTTGATCAAGGCTCTGCGTGACTTGAGGAGAGAGCAACCGCGGGTCAAGTCTGTTGTCTTTAGCCAGTTTACATCGTTCCTGACGTTGATTGAGCCGGCCTTGGCGAGGGCCAACATCAAGTTCCTCCGCCTCGACGGATCCATGGCGCAAAAGGCTCGCGCGGCGGTCCTGACTGAGTTCCAAGAATCAAAGACATTCACCGTGCTGCTCATCAGTCTCCGCGCTGGCGGTGTGGGGCTGAACTTGACATCTGCGAAAAGAGTGTATATGATGGATCCTTGGTGGAGTTTTGCGGTTGAGGCTCAGGCGATCGATCGTGTGCATCGTATGGGTCAAGATGAGGAGGTTAAGGTGTACCGCTTCATCGTCAAGGGGAGCGTGGAGGAGAGGATGCTTCGGGTACAAGACCGGAAGAAGTTTATGTGAGTTGACCCTTTGGTATTCTGGATGAGCGAGTGTTTGCTGACTTGATGCTCTTAGTGCTACGTCTCTAGGAATGATGAGCGACGAGGAGAAGAAGCTTGCACGAATCGAGGACATCAAGGAGCTTCTCAGCTAAGGGGAAAGTCTCACGTAATGGTTCTCATGGCTGGCATATGTGCATTTGTAAGGCGTTCTGGGGAAAATTGCCTCAGATGGCATTTATCAATGATAAACATAGTGTACCTAGTGCTAGACACCGGTGGAAGAGGCCGGTCCAGCACAAAGTTGCCGGTGATACGGCGCAAGTATTTATACATGGACAAATTCAAACTGGACCTTTTTATGTGTCTGTTGATGCGCCGCATGCGGGATTGTTTAATGTTGTGTCAGGACTGAAGGCGCAAAAACGGCCCACGAGCGAGCATGAACCTCTCACCTTGAAGCCATACCTATACATGCTCGAGCAACCGTATTCACCAGAGACCTCTCAGATTCTGGAAGTCACCCAAGGATAAACGCTGGATATTCCGAAGGAGCCCACATGTAATGTTTCTTAGGCAGCGAAACATCTTTTTCTAACAATAACCCGCTTTTCCCCGGGCTGCCTCACACGCTGCGCCTAGTCTGTGACTCTGTCGCTCACCTCACTCGCTCAGTCCAGTCACCACCAACAAAACATCCATCACACTGCCCAAAAACAAAAGACAACTGAGCCACGCTGAATCCGCACCAGACCGCGGGTCATTTCGAAAACAGAAAAAGTCATTTTACCCTCTACCTGCGAAAGGTGGAAAGTGCGACCAACTGACTACTTAATACTCAGCAGTTCTCTCAGCGCGCCTGGTGCTACTGTCTCACTTGCACAGGCAGACGGACACTCAATCACATGAGAAAACACCATCACCACATGACCAACAACCACCCGCGCGACTCGCAGCGCCACCAACGACAAGCTAAGAAGCTTTAACCTGCAAGTCGTCCTGCTACTGAATCGGAAGAAATAAGTCGAGGAGGGGCCTCAGAAAAATAAGAAGAGCGATTCATTTTCTCTTTTCTCTCTCTCTTTTCCCTCTTCATTCTTGAGTACCCTTCAGAGCTGATCCACTTACACCACTGAGCGTTCACTCTTTACGACTAACACACTCGCTCAACTCAACATTTCACTTCATTCGCACTACTAGCACGATACAGAAAAAATCCAATGCATCCCGATCCCCCGTGGTCATGGATGGCTTACTACGCACACTAACACGCTCCCGCAACACCGCGCCGTCCCCGAATCGCGGCAGCCGCAATCGCAACCGACACAGCGGCGGGGTGGGAGGCGGAGGCGGAAGCGGCAACAACCACGGCCAAATCGAAATCATTCTAGAGACCCTTGCCCGGGGACTCGTCGAATATGCAGTACAAAAATACATGAAGAAGCTGAGCGGCGGCGGCGACGAAGACAAGAATGGAGGAGGGCACAGGAACGACAGGCGCCTTAGCACACGCGGAGGCAATACCCATGGCCACGGCGACGACGACGAGCGCGCTAGAGGCGGCGTTCCAAACATGGACATGGAGATGCTGGAGCACCTGGGCAAGAATATCCTCTCCAAAGCTATGGAGCGCTTCGGTGGTGGTGGAGGGGAGGAGGATGAAGATGAAGACGTGAGACGGAGACATGGCAAGGGACGAAGAGGCAGCCGAGACCGCAATTCCTACTCTCGTGGACATTCGCAAGATCGCTCCCATGGGAGAAGACACGGCGGCGGCGGCGGTGGCAAAGATGAAGACCGTGACCGTGACCGGAGAAGACGCCACAGCCGCGACGACGGGTACCCTTCACACAGACCCGGCTCGCCCTCCTCGCCGTCAAGACACCATCGCGGCGATGAAGATACCCACCGCCGCCGCCGACGCGGATACGGAACCGACTACGCGCCGCTCAAGGAGGAGATGGAGACGCTGTCCAACACGCTCATCTCTTTGAACGAGCGGCAGCCCGGACACGCCGACTGCGAGTTTTACGATGCGTTTATGGAGCGCTCTGGCAAGGTGCAGGAGGCGATTGGGTCTGTTTTGGTGCAGATTCGGGAAAGGGAGGAGAGGAGGGAAGAGAGGCGTGGGCGCCGGAGGGGTTGAGGAGGTTTCATTTTCTGGCTCGGTGGGAGTGCGTGCGTGCGGGAGATACCCAGGTTCTCTTCCCGTACATAGATTCATGAGGATATGGGCGACTTGAGCGATGACTTGGATGGTTTGGAATGGCAATACCCAGTAGAACGGAGGCAATACCCAGGTTATTCTTTACTTGCTTGAGATTTCGGCAGCGATGCGGCTGATGGAGTGAATGGATGGTTTGACGTATGGTTTGTAGGATAATGTAGACTCTAGAATAGTTGCAACCTCCCTTCCGTTCCGTCTTGTATGCTACATTAGCGACCGCAAGCACGTGTTCAGGATGCAGAGGTCGCAGAGTCAGCAATGGCCAGCTTGTACCGTAGACGCAAACGCAAACAGGACTGGTTACCGAGCATGTGGTGATTTGATGCGTGTGCTACGTTGTGCTGCCTCATCCGGCTGTTTGGAACTGGCTTTCTGGAGATCGTAAAGGCGTGCCTGAAACGGCCAGTTCTTGAGACTGCGCGAAGAGACAGATTGTCGTGGGTTTGCTGCTTGCCTCAGTAGTTTCGAGTGTGTAAAGTGTGTCTCATTTTCTCTCCTGAAGACGTATCTCGAGACAAATTGGCTTTCGCAAATGAACGATGCTATCAAACTGAAAGGAGGCCGACAATGATTCATACAATTATCGTCACTTTCCCCCTGAGATGGAAGGGAAAAGAAAACAGTCATGGCGATGCGAGAAGCAACAAGCAGATGACTAAACCACGAGAAACGGCACAAGCCAGCTGAGGCCAGACCTCAGCCGCCCCTGACATGGCACCAATACCGACATCACACGTCCCGACAAGCCACCTGATACCTCGCGGCGAGGAAGGCAATATAGCAGGAATGCTCATCGGCTGTCTCGTCGGAGGCCTGGCCGCCGTGAGCCTCATATACTTCTGCTTCAACTGCGTCTTCTCTCCCAAACCACGCAAAAAGACGGACCATCAAGCACAGCATGTCCACTCTCATAAGTCTTTTATACATAAACCTCATATCCACCACGTACATCCGAAGCCTAACATGGATGCCCACGTACATTCCCCTCGACGTCCGCACACCCACGGGTGGATGCATCATCACCACCACCACCATCATAAACACGGCCATCATCATCACCGTACCAAGGGCAAGGCGAAGCCCAAGAAGGCTTGCAAGAAAGCGAAACGGAAGGCCAAGGCCAAGACCAAGTCCACGCGCCGAAGTAAACGATCTTCGCAGCCTCGCGAACCTACGATACGCTTCATGCCTATGCCTCCCATGACGGCTATGCCCTTGCACCCAGCTCCGGTAGCTGGGATGGCAATGGGGTTAGGCATGGGCATGGGCATGGGTATGGGTATGGCTCCTGGTATGGACTTGCCGCTGGGCGACGGTTTCATCGACTACGGGCCGGCGCCTGGCCAGGACATGGGATTAGAGATGGGATGGGGTGTAGACCCGGACTTTCGACTGGAGCAGTTTACGACGGAAGACGATATACATGGTGACAGGGAGGTGACTTGTAACGAGTGCTGCTACTCGTTTTTCGATTCTGTGTGTGGTATCCCGCCGGAAGCTCGAGATCTGAGAAGGGAGGTTGCTGGCAATGGGGCTGTGATTGTGAATGACAATGAGATGGAGGCTGTGTAACCTGTATAGTGAAGCAGGTCGTCTTTCGAGGGAGCCATGTTGCGAGGGTCGGCCCTTCTGAGCCAGGGGGCAAGTGTTCCAAATACGGATCTTGAGGCTGAATGGCAAGGCCGTCGTTCATATGGAACCAAGAGACACATAAGACGAGCTACTTCAGACAAAAAACAAAACAACAATCATCAATTCAAAATTGTACACACCGCAAACGAACACCATACTGGGTCCAGTAGGAAAGGTAGTGGCGCCTGGGTTCGCCTTGGAATTTCATCCGCCAACTCCCGCTCCGTGCAAAAGTCAAATTCTGCATAGTACAACTCACGTCAGGTCATAAAATCCTTCTTTCAAGTCAGTCTTTTGATACTTCGTGAAGAGGGACCCAACGTACCTGAGACTTTCTGTTACAAGCCCTCTCCCGAATACTATAAGCCTCACTTGGGGGCTGAGGGTGTAACACCCACCCAAGACTACTTCTCAGCCGGGGGTTCAGCCGGGATATCAGCCGGAGGGTCGGCTGGAGCATCGGCCGGCGCGTCAGCAGGGGGATCGGCAGGCGTGGCAGACGGGGCGGTAGAGCGTGGTGCTGAGGGAGGCCCTGGCGGAGGTGGATGAGAGGCGGGGCCGTCGTCGGCCGAGCTCTTTGAGCTCCTTGAGCTATATGACTTGTGGGAGTGATGGCGTCGGCGACGACGACGCCGACGGCGACTGATCTTTTTGAGGGACACTCTGTAATAGTAGAGAAAGGCTCCAGCGCCCAGGATGAATACGAGGATGGCCACCCCGACCGTGACACCAACGGTCAGGTTGGTGGTCTGGCCACCTGATATGGAAACTTGTCTCTTTGTGACGGTATTGTTGGGTTTGTCTGCACGCGCTGCCACCTCGAAATCGGGGGAGCAAGGCTCTGTCTCAAGACCAAAGCTCCTTGGCACTCGGCCATTGAGGGGTTGGGGGATATACATTCAGTGTCCGGGGGAAGGTTTCCGGTGATGATGTTGGGTCGAACAATAGAAGATGTAAATGGTACAATAATGATCAAAGCATCACGAAAGAGGGAGATCGGAATCGTACGAAAAGAGCAATTTGGGACATGATGAACGTGGAAGCAGAGAAAGAAGAACAGCCTGCATAGCAGATAGAATGTCAAAGGTCCACGAGACATATTTAACCTCAACATCCCTTGGGCTGCTATGGATGAGATGATGGGCAAGATGAACGGGGGTCACTGACGGTGTAAGGTAGCTGGCAGCTCGCCTGGGTTGAAGGAGGTTCCGTGGTGAATCTGAGAGGATAACACCGGGGGCGCATATGCAGAGAGTGGCATCGTGCAGCGAATGCGGAGGACAAGGAGAAGGAGAAGGGAGTGTAAGACTGTATATCCGCATCAAACGAGCAGCCGGGAGACAGAGCCAGTCTCCAGATGCAGCAGACTCAGGAGCAGGCTGGGCGCGATTATGCGCGATCCATGCAGCTGCCAAACCAATGAACCGATGGTAGGCGTGGCGATGGTCCCCTACCGCAGCGGTTCCCGCACTCGTCGGGCCGCTCGTAGCCCAAGAGTAGTCTCTCGAAGCTATTGCTGATGGTGTCGTTGGGGGACACTTTCCGCCAGTCACATCGGGTGAGGCTTTCGTCTCCCATTCACCTGCAATGGGCTGATGGCCTCCTGCTGATGGCGGCGACTGCACTGGCTGATCTTGGTCTGGCTGGATCGTCCCTTAAGGTTCGGCAGCCGCCCCTCAAGAGTGTTCTTCTGCGCTACCGGACGTGATAAGTGAGCAAAGGGCGGTGCGGTTGGAGGCAAATACGGAGATCGCAGTTGGCTGGTTGGGCATCAAGACTATCAAGGGCTCAATTGGTACCCGCCGCCCAGGCGAGCTCGCGATCGAACACGTCGACAAGTGCCAAAGGCTAATTGAGGCCTATCTGAAGTAGGTAGCGGGGCTCGCGGGTGTTCCATCGTGGAAAAAAGGCGAGTCGGTGACGGGGGGGATGTTGACGGATGGATCTCACGATGGATCCTGTCCACCTCGTCTTCAGGTGCCAGCAGTAAGTTAAGTTAAGTTACGAAGTACAGCTCAAGAACTACCTAATAGCTTACCCTACTGCGTAGGTGCTCAGCTAGAAGACCCGAGGACCTTGAGGGACGCTGTAACGGCTGGCTTACTTAATTGGATTGATGACTCAGCTGCTCCTCCATCTCCTACCTCTTTTCCTCCTCAACTTCACCTTTCCAACCCATTTCCCCCCTCTTCGTCGCAACTACTGAACGAAATCATTATTCTCCTTTTTCCAGCCATGCCTCTAGCTCCTTGGGCCTGAATCATCTCGTAATCCCTCACCAGGGAGCAAACCAATCAAGGTGGCCGTCCTGGGCCGAATAGACAAGGCGAACCGGCAGCGGTCTCCCAGCCAGTCGGCCTACACCACGAGCCGCCGTGCAGCTGCATCCTGCAGTCGTCTACAATCTCTCGTCTTTGGCCTAATTGAGCATCACATTCTGCCGCCAAACGACATTTCGAGCCGTGGTATCATCACCTGGATACCATCAAAGAGACTCTGAGCAAGTGCCATGTGTATTCCATGCACAATGTCTTGCAGCTTGGACCAGAACCCAAGGGGTCCCCTGGGCCCTTCTCCTTGCGCCGGGGCATTGTGCTGTGACTTGGAAGAAAGAGCCAGTGCTATTGTCATTTTCACTGATACACAATAGTCGTATCTTCTCCCTCGAGACCAATCGTCTTTTACGAGTTTGAATAGTTCTGCCGCCGCAACCGACCGCCAATGTAGACGACTCTAGATCTTCCCGACCGAGATGTCTGGTATCACCCACTACTTTTCAAAAATGCCAAAGAAATGTTTTGCCGTCATCTTTGTTGACCACTCCGATTGTAGCAGCAATGCCTGAGTATTCCTCGAGGTTCTTTCGGCCCATAGACTACGAGCCGGATCCTTCAGCCCAGCAAGTTGTGGTTCTGACTCCCTGGATCATGTCATGGTCGTTATCCTTTTTAAACAGGCAAAATAACCAAACTATCCTTGGCTTGACACTTTTTTCCTTTTCTTGCTGATCTTTAGATCTTGCTGACGGACTACTCGGCACTGTCGCCACCCTCACGTTTACCATGTGTATCCTTCTCACGAGAACCTTCAGATGTTTTCCAGGCGGAACACTCTCGCAGCATACCTTCCAGTACATCGTTCGATGCGCCAGCCCGAGATATGCCGAGTGTCTAGACCCGAAAGCTCTGACCAAGCAATCCGAGGAGTATGATATCTCCTGTCACGAATGCACCGGCAAATTCCTTCAGCCCTTCACCAAGCCGAGGCGATTTACCGAGAGCATGGTTGATGAGAATGGCATAGAAGCACGAGCAGCTACTGAGCAATATGTCAAATCCATGGTCGAATTCCTCAATATGGCATTGATGGATGCGGGACCTGAGCTTCAGACTAAATTGGAAGGAAATGAGGATGATCAATTTGTCATTCGAGTCAGCAAAATCGAGACAGCCTGCCGCTTCAACAAGGACCATGTCGAAAATGGTCCCTACTGCGAATGCTTGGAAACAGACGATGCCACCAAGGAGTTCGATACGAACAGGATCACTGAACTTCACAATAACGCTGCGGCTATGCGGCGGATTGTTTCCCAATCATATTTCTTCCCTTGGCGAGGCTTCTGGCCCGGTGCCAACACCGGCAATCGACTCGCGGATGAATTCAATTATCGACTATTAACCCACACCCGGAGGCCGGCCAACGATGGAGAGCTCGATCCAAGGTTCCCATCTGTCGAACAGTGCACTGAATCCCACCGTCAACAGCCCGACTTTACTTTTTTAATCAACCTTGGCGACCGGAAGCCTCACGAAAGTGGGCAAGTCACGGCCGTGCCTGTTCTACAAAGCGCCCCTGATATCGTCGACCGAGTTGGAGTTCTTACGGCTCAACTGACGGAAAAAATCGATTCTTTTGGCGGGAGAGACGAATGGGAACGCTCTGTTATTGAATCTTTTCCTGTACCATTGTTCGCTGAATTTGTCGCGGCCAACTTTGATACGCGCATGCAAGTTTCCAACCTTGTTTCGCATCTCCTGGCCCACGATCCAGGGCTGACCAGGGCACGAATCGCTTCTATCAGCCGAATATTCCTAGAATTCTGGCAGGTCGACACAGATGTCATGAAGGCCAACCTCCCCCAAGACCTACGCATGTTATTTGTCTCACTGTTCAAGTGGAGTAGCGTGTCCATTACCCAAAGAGGCTCTATTGGATTCCGGAGTGGTGCGTACGCAGGCGGGATGCTGACTAGCCCTGGCCACTACAAGCATACCGAGTATATCCTTCTACGCAACGCAAACTTGAGGTTCAAAGACGAGTTCTCCAGACAGAGCCTCCTCGAGGGTGTGGTCGCGCCGCTCAGAGAGGCGGAGCTTCAGGAACTCGACGACACGGACTGTTTTATCTGCATGGAGCCACTCGGCACGGGGCAGGATCCGCACGCAGCTGTGCGCGTTAAATGCCCTTTAGAAAACCACGTGGTGGGAAAGAACTGCTGGATGAAATCCCATCGCCGCAGGTCGAAATTCGACCCCAGGGAGCTGAAATGTCCCTTGTGCTCGGACTTTGTGCTGGGTGAGTGGAAGATGCCGTTCAATAACACGGAGCTTTGGGCTTGGGATCTGGTACGGAAGACCGTGCCGCAGCTGCTCGAAGAGATGGGTCCTCTAGGTTATGCTGAGCTTTAGACTGCAAGATGAGTAGTGCTTGTTGGTGTTGGTCATGTTTGATTTTGGTTCAGACATGTTGCAGCAACATGTTGATGCACATAAGACGTATGTATAATAACACTCAGGGAGCTAGGCATCTAAGGTCACTCGTATACTACTTCACTATTTCATCAGCCACTCGAAACTTCCAACGTGATCAACTCTTGTGAGGTTCTACCACACACTCCATCAAGTGCCCGAGTGATGCGCGGTGTGTTGCGTGGAAGACGACAACGCGTCTGTCTACGACGCATATCGCAGTCCAGCCTTGATTTCGACACTGGCGGCGGCGGCGGCGGCGGCGGCACATGATTGCGGAGCGGGAAACAATTTCCAGCAATTGTGAGTTTCCATGTTCTATTGAGGCATGATTGATGGAAGACTTTTCGTTCCATGATTCGAGGCTTTGAGTAACAAACAAACCCCTTCGCTTCTACAGGATTAGTATCTCAGACAAACGACCCGGCCGAGCTTCTTTGACTGATGATGGTATCGTACCGGATCAAGCAACTACAAACACACATTGTAAGTGTCCCTTACTTCTCGTGCGTTCCTCTGCAGTCGAAGCTTGTGATGTAGCATGTTATATAAGTCATGTCCCATGAAGAGTCTTCCCTCTCATCTTGATCATCTGCAAATCAGTCACATTTCCCCTTTCCATTCATTCCAATCAGCTTCTATTCCAAGTTCCCAACCCCTAGTCCAGCCTCAATTTCCTTAGACCTCCTTACGAGTCCTTCAAATTCACCACCAGCACAGCCATGTACGTCTCCTCTCCCCGCCGCCGGCGCGCCGTCCCCCCAAACCCAATCCGCATCCGCCGCCACGCGAACAGTCCCCTCCTCGCCGGCCGCAGCCCCGCGCCCTGGACGCCCGACCACCCTATCCCTCCGACCCCTTCGACGGTAGCGGCCCCGGACTCCGCCGATACCCCTATCTTCCCCGTGAGCCCCTCATCCGCCACAGTTTCGACAGGTCAAACATTATGGGATACAAATCCAAGGTCTGGTTCCATTAAACCGTTCTCGGAGACAGCGGATCCGGGTTGGGGAACGGATCAGGATTGGAGGGACAAGTCGCCCTACCCCTCGGCGGAGGACTCGCCGGCATTAGCATGCTGGAGGCTTGCCGAGCTGCAGCGAGCGGAGGATAGCCCCGGCGTGGTGACGGCTGGTGATGAGATTAGTCCTGGTACTGTGAGTATTCCGAGGACGCCTGCTAGTACGCCTGTTGCTGGACGAGCTGGGTCTGCAATTGCTGTTGGTAGGAGGGATGGGGTGTCAAAGTTGAGTAGCGTTCTGTATTCTCCTGGGCTGCCTGTTTCGCCGCCGCTGCGGTGGTGGAAGGGTGAGGGGTATAGGCCGGTTCGTGGGACTAATAGGGAGGATGAGAGTGTGAGCGAGAGCGGGAGTGATGGTAGTGTGAGTCCTGGGTTGAAGCGTGTGAGACTTCAGCGGAGGGGGACTTTGGATGTGAAGAAGTGTATTTGTCATGGGGGTGGTCCTTCGGAGCCTATGAAGTGGTTAAAGTATCCGCTGGTTGTTTTGCTGCTGGTGCTTATCTTGCTATATGTTCCATGGAACTGGGTGATCTGAGAGCGTTGTTAGTAATCTCATTCTTCCATCGGGCTGGGAGAACTTGGAATTGGTGAATATGAAGAGTCTTGGATACGGACTAGGTAACTAGGACTGTCTTGACAAGCTAAGATAGTTGGCATCAAAGACCGTTGCCATCTCTGGAACCTTCCCTGGTCCTCAAGGTTCTGGTTCTTTCCCCTCGAAGCTTTGGATTACTAGTCTCGTGAATGAGTACCCGGGACTGCCCATGGCGCTTTCCCGGCCCGGCAAGACTAGACATCTACGAGGAAGGCACCAAGGTCCTCTCCTTCCCGCAAACCGACGCCTCCTACCTTACTTATTCGACAAACCCACAGATCCTTCCATCAGCGGACACCCAGTACATGAGTGCGTGGCTCAATTGGGTGGCGGACAGGGTAAAAATATACTCGTGCTAGCAGGTCCTCCGTGAAACCTGGCGAGCGCTCTTGTTCGAAGCCCCTTGCAGGCAAAGAGCGTTGAACAGACCCCCGGGCCTGTTATCTTTTGCTTTTTCCAACATTTTGTATATAATTCTTTTGATACTTTTGATTCGTATAATTTTGCTAGTTCTGAGGATTCATTTTCACAGGGTTTCAAGAGTGTAGCTGCTCTGGTCGTGGAGTGGCGAGCCTCGGAAGTGTGACGATACTCCTTTTTGCCTAGATAAATAGCGGAAGGAGGGCTGTGTATTGAAGTAGGAACTGGCACTTGACTTGGAAAGTGCTATTTCATCCACTTTCCTACGTACTCAGAGCCAACATGTTAATTCTTCTCGTTACAATGATGTCACTCGCATTTTGTCATACTACGATATTCACCTCGACCTCAACTACGACTTAACCACGTCTTTACAGAGACTCGGACCCCTATTGAGAGCATCATTTCGTTACTTCAGCTCTTTAAAGCATGACAGACCTGCATACCCGCCAGTTCTCCCACATTGGAGGCACCTCCACCGATCTCCTCGACCGCCTCGCCGTCTCTGAGCTCTGCAAAGGCTGGCCGGTCTACCGCGACGCAAGCGAATGGGCAAACTATCGCTCCCTCTTCACCAAGGATGCCTACGTCTGGACCAGTACGTTGGTCCATCGACCCCTTACTACGATGCCACCACTTTCAAAAGTATTTCGACCCTTTCTGGCTCTTGAGCTGACGCCATATCGCATATAATAGCTTGGAGCGGCGCCCAGTCCATCGACGACTTCATCCGCATTTCCGTTGCCGGCAAGTCATCTGGTGCTTTCATCATGCATCTTGAATGCGGCACGCTCGTCGAGCTGAACCCAGGTACGGGCCGCGCCGTGGGGAAGATGAAGGCCACCATTACCCAGCGCTTCAAGCACCCCGACGGCTACAAGTACGACGTCGACTGCGACTGTCGGTTCCTATTCTTCTACGAGAAGGCGAAGGAAGCACGAGGTTATGGCCAGACCGATTGGAAAGCTGCGTACGTCAAGCTTGTGTATGAAAAGGACAAGATTGTGCCTGTAGATGGGAAGCAGGCCCCAGTCTTTGCGGACGAGGATTTGGCCAAGTATCCTGCGGGATTCAAATACCTCGGAGCCGCGCAAAGCACTTTGGGGTACGAGATTGATATCAAGCTTGTCACGGGAGGGGATGTGAGGGCTTGCAACAAGATGTACCAGAGGATGGAGAGGTGGCTAGAGGGGGGAAATGGTTCTGTCGGTCTTTTCGAAACTTGAAGAATCCTCGACTACACGATGCAAATATAATACTAGCATCACTCAAACATGGCTTGAGGTCTTTGATCGTGTCTTGGGCTGGTAGCTTGGCCTCTGGAGTCCAACCTCAAAGAGGCCATCATGAACAGAACTTAGGTATGGACAAAATGGCGTCTATGAAACAGCCGTTATAGAGAACATTCACATGCTATGACACATCATTCAACCTGGTCGTTGAAATAGTGCAGGATGCTTGCATACCTCTGGTGAGATGTGCATAACATTTCACAGCGATTAGGTAAGCCCGCATTGCACCATCACGGACGTGGGTGGCGGATTCAGCTGTTAGATTTGTTTCTTCTTGGAACATTTCACCGACCCAAGACATGAGCTGGTTTGATTCCGAAATGTCTCAAGGACGGTCGGGTAAGCGGGCAGGGTCCTGGCAAAGACTGACGCAGCTCACACGAGAGAGGAATGTTGGCGATCGCGTAGTGGCGTTGGTTTGTGTTCTACTTGTGTGCATCGACTGCATAGCCGTGTCCATTCGCGGTCCAGGCTCCGGCTGTCCGGCGTCACTGAGTAAGGGATCGATATAGTGTAGATATGAGAAGAGTCAAGAGAGAGAATGTTGAGTGGACAGCGTCATGCATGCAGGTGTGACAATGGACGGGAGTTCAGGCACAGCGCACAGAATGAATATTGAATACCTTACTGAATAATACGGAATGATGGACAGCGGAAGATGCAGAGATGCAGAGATGATGGGACGACATCGGGGAAGGAGCAATCCCGTGTCAATGCATCGTCCGTTCTTTCCCCCCAAGTTCCCCCTGCGTCAGCCAAAGCGCTGGTTCATCCAATGGGGGCGCTTCAGGTGCATGCATTGGCTGAGAGATCTTCAGGTCCTTGAGGAAGTTCAGGTCCTTTCAGCACAAGTGGCAGCGCAAGTGGCAGCACAAGTGGAGGCGGCCCCAGCGGGCTGGCTGCTAATGCCAGGTACCTACCCGATGTATCTCCTACTTGTGCCTGGCTGTGCCTGGTTTTTTTTTCATCCACTGCCACCTCAGGTTCCAACTTTGCCAGGCCCCAATTGCCAGGTATCCACGTATCGATTCAGCCCCGGAAAACAAACTTGGACAGCTCGGTGGAGCCACTGCCCTGAAGGTCGATTCTTCGAGCCCCCCCCCCCCCAGAAGGTGTGCGGTGTGCTGTGTCCTCACGTGACACTGAGTGTCGGTTGCAAGTACCAAAGTACCCCGTACCTACCCCCGGGCTCTCCTTAATTTCGTGACGTGCCAATACGACCGTCATTGTTTTCCTCCACTCTTTTCTTCTCTCTCCTCCTTCACTCCACTCCTCTTTTGACTGTGACCCCCGTCTTCCCTCCTTTTGTGTTTTATAGACATCTTTGTCCCACCCATTGTCGAATCCTCCTTTGGACCTGTTCACTCTTTCACTCTTCCCAGTCATTCTTTTTGGTCCACGACAACCACCAACTCACTACACTCTTTTGTTTATTATAGTCACAGCCAAAGAGTCTCGGAACAACGCAAAAAAAGGTCTTTCCCAGTCCGCCCTTAATTAACCACCCTGGGACCCTTTTCCTCTGCTCGACGATTTTATTATTTCAACCGTTTCTTAACACATTAATCCAATCAAAATGAAGGCCTCCATCTCTCTCGCTGCCCTCACTGCCCTGGCGGCCACCGTCGAGGCTCAGAACTACCTTGGCTTCAACTCCGGTGCCACCAAGGCCGACCGCTCCGCCAAGTTCAAGGCCGACTTCGAGGCCGAGTTCAAGACTGCCCAGGGCCTCGAGGGTGCCCCCGGCGACTTCAACGCTGTCCGTCTCTACACCAACATCCAGGCCTACTCCACCCAGGACCCCATTGAGGCTTTCGAGGCTGCCATCGAGACTAAGACCTACATCCTTCTCGGTATCTGGACCTCCGGCACCGACAACATTGACAAGGAGATCAACGCCCTGAAGACCGCCGTCACCAAGTACGGCACCAAGCTCACCGACCTCATCATCGGTGCCTCCATCGGTTCCGAGGACCTGTACCGCAACTCCGTCACCGGTGTCAAGAACAAGTCTGGTGTCGGTGCCGACCCCAAGACCCTCGTCGGCTTCATCGACGACTTCAAGACCGCCTTCAAGGATACCCCTCTGTCCAAGGTTTCCATCGGCCACGTCGACACCTGGGACGTCTGGGGAAACTCTACCAACAAGCCCGTCCTCGACGCCGTCGACTGGGTCGGTGTTGACGAGTACCCCTACTACGAGAACGACAAGGGCAACACCATCGACAACGCTGGTTCCCTTTTCGACAAGGCCTACGCTGCCACCGTCGCCACCGCTGGCGGCAAGCCCGTTTGGGTCACCGAGACCGGCTGGCCCGTCACCGGCGAGACTTGGGACCAGGCCGTTCCCAGCGCCAAGAACGCTCAGAAGTACTGGCAGGAGGTCGGTTGCCGCAAGCTCTTCAACAAGGTCCCCACCTTCTGGTACAACCTTCGCGACTCCAACCCCGACAACTCCATGAAGTTCGCCATCACCAAGGACCTGTCTACCACCCCTCTGTTCAACCTCACCTGCCCCACCACCTTCGACACCCCCTCCAGCACCAAGACCGCCTCTGCCTCCGGCACTGCCACCGCTAAGCCCAGCTCTTCCTCTGGCGCCAGCTCTGGTTCCGGCAACAGTACCAGCGGTGGCTCCGGCTCCGGCTCCGGCTCTGGCTCTGGCTCTGGAAGCGGCTCTGGCAGCGGTTCTAACTCGACCGTCTCCACCGCCGCTCCCTCTGCCACCTCTGGCTCCGGCTCCTCCGGCAGCGGATCCGGCTCTGGATCCAGCGCCAGCAGCACGCCCTCCGCCGTTGCTGGCTCTGGTGCCGCTGGCCTCCAGGCCTTCACCACCGGTGCTTTGGCCGTCGTTGCCGGCGCTTTCGCCCTCCTCTACTAAGAGGCGCGAGGAGAGTAGTGCACTCACTCGTCTTGTGGTCAAATTTTTCTAGCGCATTGGCAAGGTGTCTTTTGATTCCCCCTTCTGGACATGTGTTTTTTTCGGTATCATAATCATGGATAGATCGAGGATAGACTGATGGAGAAAAAATGTGATTAATCCATACACTCATTATCATTTCAATTGCCCTGTGACTATCTGTGACATTTGACGATATTTTTTTTCTTCTTTGGTGACATGCTCGAAGTACTGTTCAGTGTGTGAATGTTCACACCAGTGAGTGTTTACCAGGCTAATCGCGTCATACAGGGCTCGAGCTAATCCTCCCGAGCAAATGAACGAGTCGTTTCGGTAAGCCTCAAGGTCGAGGTGTAGGTGTGCTGCGGGCCGCACGCCCATTGCCTGACCTTGATTTACGATGCAATTGGGCAAGGCGCGGTGGCAGCCAAGCCGGCCAAGAGGAGCCTCCCTCCCTCCCATCCACCCCCATGGTCACCACCACGTCCACCACCCATTTGGCATCCCACCCCCCAGAAGTCGGGAAATGAGATGGTGCTGATCAATCCCCACCCTCAAGGAGGCCGCACTTGGTTTAGAGCACTTGGGTACCAGGGGAGAGCAAGCTGGCAGGCATACGAGGTCTGGACCGTCGAGCGGGCTCCGTTTCTCTCTTTGGTTCGTATTTCCTTCTCCCGGTCAGGGGATGTCCCGTCCCCGCTGAGGAAGCGAGAGGAGACTGGAGAAGGTTGGGATTTGACTATTCTGGAGGAGACGGGCTGACAGACAAGAGATTCGAGACTCGAGAAAAATAGGACTGTGTATTCACACGAGTTCACACTGATGCACAGTAGAGAGTGGAAACTGGGAGAGTGGACGAAAGAGGAAAGGCATTCCCACATATCCAGGCGCAGTGGCGAGCTAAATTTAGAGCTCGGACCCGAGTAACAATTGGCAACATTTTCTGGAAACTGGTAACGGGGAGAGACGGCTTCGAGTTCGGTGTCGCGCCGTCGGGCGCCGTCGCTCGGCACGCTTGGGATGTGTGTGTACTTATTCGTTCACTGGAGTTTATGCGGCTTTTTGAATGAAGGCGAGACTTTGCGAGTTCTCAGTACGCGATTACGTCCACAAAACGATTCTCCAAGATTGTCAGACTCGTGGAGCCCGTTCAGGTACGCGACGAATCATGATGTTGCTGTACCTGGCGCTAGACGCAAGAGAGGCGACAGAGTTCAACGGCACAGGTACCTACTGACCGGATCAGGAAGAAGGCGAGAAAAATCTTGGAAGGGGGTGAGCTGAGTGTGGAGAACGCGCGTCCAGTGTTTGTTCTGATTTATGCATGTTCATCTTATTTGTTCAAACAAAGTCTGATTTGTTGACTTTGGCATCAGTCAGTTCAAATCAGATCAGATCAGACCAGACGAGGAGAAACTGAAAAGGAAAGATGAATTACCGGTTCGATCAATAAGAGGAAAACTTGGCTTTTCTCGCTAAGAGTCAATACTCAATAGTGTTGGAAAGGCGAGTGGCGGTGCACTGCGGCGGCGGCGGCGGCCATGCCCTGACCTTGTTGGTGATCATCCAAGAATTCAAGATCCAAGGCCGGGTTTGCATGCCTACCTTAGTGCATACTGTACTTTTGCCAGTTGGCAGTTGGCAACTTGGTCTCTGCCAGCCAATATTCTTTTCCTCCCAACTCTTAAATAGTCAACCTCGTTCGGGTATTTTTGGCAACTCTGTATTTCGGGGCGCGGCGGGACGAGACTTTTGACGTATCTGCGGGCCTTGTTCTCGTGATGCAATTGCACTCTGTAGCATTGTTTATGCCGGATAGCGGCACGATGAACATTCTACTTCTGAACATGTGATGACTAGCTGATGAACAGGACTTTGCGTCTTGTGTGTGCGTGCATTCCTCCAAGTGCCTCACTTCCGTATCCCAACGGCGTTTCGACTGTTGCATGTTTTATGCCAAGACATTTCCCCTAATTTGTGCATTTGGCACGTTGTGAACCGGCTGCGGCTTGGCAGGTAGATTGGCGGAAAGCATCTTCCCCCCCATCCGTCGGGTCTCAGCCGCAACGGACCAACGGTTTTTTTCTCATCTTTGGGAACTTTATTCGACGTCATTGGTTGTATCCCCAAGACAAGTCAACAATTCAAGATGTATGTGAGGTTGTCGCGATATCCAAAAAGGTGGTAGTGGAGCGCGCTCACACAGCCTGCTGCGGTCGTGATACACAGAATGTTCTACAGAGGCCTCCCCCGCCCGCTGGCATGAACGTAGCTCTTCTGCAACACGACGCCGCACCCAGGTTCTTCCTAGGACGGCCGCGGGCCTCGACGGGATGCCGAAGCTTCTTCCCGCGCGCTTCCGGAGCCGCCGCGTCAACGCCATCGGACTATCAACTCCAACACTTCCAAGTTCTGACATTGGATGTTCACATGTTTCCCTCTTCCGCCCGCCGGTGGATCACTTTTTCACCCGGCTCCATAGCCCTGACGGAACCCGCTCACACGCACACAAACCTCTCACACTCACCCATAATTGCAAGCACTGGAATATGAGTAGCTTGCCCGGCTCCCATCGGCATCCGCAATCGCATCGAGAACCTTCCTCGGAGCGAGCATCGTCACGGAAGGGTGGCCGAGTTGGTTATGGCGCCAGGTTAAGGTCAGCTTAACATCTGTTTCCTGGTGGGGCAACCCGCGCGAGTTCGAGTCTCGTCCCTTTCATTTTTCGAGTTTTGGCGGTTGATCATACGTTTTGAATGCACGAATGCTCTTCCATCAGTAATGATTAGCTAAGGCACAAGTTCATGTTCTATCATCTGAGTTTTTGAACTTGTCGAGAGCAAGAGTGAGATGGTCTACAGGTGAGTTATGCGTTGCAAGCTTGCAAAGGCTCTTGGCTCCGGCATGATCACCTCTAGAGACAGTGTCCAGCCTCAATCTCCACGTCCACGTCTGGAAGGAACGGGTGTCTGTCTATCAGAGACTGTCAAACCTATCCAGCCGCTCAATGTCCTTCACTGCCTTCTCTACCCTCCACTTGATTCGGCGCCAGTCCTTGGCCAAGATGAACTGTGCTGTCCAACGGGTGACTAGGTGGCATACCCAGTCGTGTGTTGTAGGAATTGTAAGTCACACATCATCGCGAGGACATAGACAGTAGTATGACTATTCTCGATTTGTCTTTGGCAGCCACCGCCTCAATCATTTCTTATGCTCTATCACCCCCATATCCTTCACGACCGAGCCCTTCTCTTCCAGCCCGTCATCCTTCACCTCTTCCCCAAACACCTCCTGCATGCGTTCCAGACTGTGGCCTCTGGTCTCGGGGTACAAGAAGTAAAAGACGGCGACTTCAACTACGAGCCACACCACATACACCAGATAGTACTTCCAACCTAGAGAGTCCATACCAATAGGGTTGACAAACTGGTTGAAAAACGACGCGGCCTTGTTAGCAAAGACGAGAATACTAAGACCCATGGCACGGAGCCTGAACGGAAGAATCTCCGTTGGGTAGAGGAAGAGCAAGGGGTTGAGGCAGATGTTGAAGGCGGCGTAGAAGATGAAGATGAAGGCAAGCGCAGCCTGGCTAGCAGCCGTGGTGCCCTTTGTGTTATACACCGCAATACTGGCCGTGAGCGACGAAAAGGTGAGCCACATGGCGATACCACCCCCGACAAACATCCAGCGGCGGCCGATCCTGGTCGAAAGCGCTGCCGCGAACAAGGCCGTGACGTAGTTCACGGTGCTGATGACTCCATTGAGCATTGTCTGCTCGCGCTGGCTGGTGATACCGATGCTGGTGAATATTTTTGTCAAGTAGTACGATACGAGGCCGTTGCCACTCCACTGGCCAAACACAGCAAGAGTAAGAAGAATCAAGAGTCTTTTCCTGTTGGCCGGTGTCTTGAAGAAGAGCTTCGGTCCAACATCCTTGACCTGCTTCTCGAGCTGTAAAGCCACCTTCATTTCGTGAAACTCTGCGACAACCAGCGGGTCAGACGGGTCTCCTCCCCCGTGATGCTTCACGAGGATGCTAAACGCTTCGTCATCTCGGTCCTTGTAACAAAGCCACCGAGGTGATTCGTCCAGGAACCAGACGAAAATCATCTGGATTATTGCCGGAAGCGCCTGCAACATTGTAGGAAGCCGCCACGCCCACGACCCGGCAATACGGTAGCTCCCAAACGTCACCCACCCGGCCGTGAGGGCGCCGAGGTAGAAGCTGGTATTATACAGCGATCCGAATAACACGCGGTGCCGCGGGTGCGCGAGCTCCGAGATGAGCACCGGCGCCGCGGCGAGAGCCATGGTGATGCCGAAGCCGACGACGATGCGGCCGCCGATGAACTGCCCGATGGAGTGGCTGAGACACTGGATCAGCACGCCGAGAATCATGATGCTGCTCCCCGTGAGGATGGACCATTTTCGCCCGAAGCGGTCCGAGACGAAGGCGGAAAAAGGGGTGGAAATGATTGCGCCGAGGGGGTACGCGGCGCTGGTGAAGCCGAGGAGGGCGCCCTTGGGACTTCCGAATTCGCGGTTCCAGGCGGCGACGCCTTGGAGGCCTGTCAAGACAGAGCCATCGTAGCCGTTTGTTGCGCAGACGACGAGGCAGGCTGGAGCGAGGATGCTATAGAGGCGGATGAGGGATGGTGTGAGGGAGGAGACTGCGGAGCGGTTGTCTGATGCCAGGATCTCTTCCACGGTCTGGGACCTCGGGGGTAGAGACTCGGAGTCCATCTTATTGGACAATCAAAGGCCAGTATAAATGAAGATGGCTGTGGGAATGATGACTTCTTCACCCGGGGTTCGCAGGTCTATTTATGCTGTCTGACAGCCATGATCCAAGTTGTTCGCCAATAGACAAGACGTATCCAAGACGGTATGTTTTCTTGAGTAGGTGAAGTCTTGGGAAGACAAGCTTCTATTAGGCAACATACGACATGGCGTCGAACCTGACCCCATGGTATGGTTCCGTT